AAAGATTTCTTGACAAGAATTTAATTCGAAATTTTTAAAAATAATTGAAATTCTGTCAAGAATTTAATTATTTATGAAAAAAATTGAATTCCTGACAAGAATTTGTTTCAAATTTTTGAATATAATAGAAATCTGGCAAAAAAATTCAATTATTTATGAAAAAATTGAATTCTTGACAAGAATTTGTTTCCAATTTTTGAAAATAATTAAAATCCTTCGAAGAATTTTATTATTAATGAAAATAATTTAAATCTTACCAAAAATTTTTATGTTTTATGAAGATAATTGAATTCTTACGAAGAATTTTATTAAAATTTTTGAATATAATTGAAATCCTCCGAAGAATTTTATTTTAATAATGAAAATAATTGAAATCTTCCAAAGAATTACTTATATATATTTTTTATGATGATAATTGAATTTTTAGGAAGAATTGTATTAAAATTTTCAAACATAATTGAAATCCTTTGAAAAATTTGATTATTTATAAAAATAATTGAAACCTTGTAAAGATTTTTATTAAAATTTTTGGAAAATAATATAATTGTTTTGATGAAAATTTAAATTCCTCGTAGGAATATAGTTAAGATTGTATTGAAAATAATTGAATATTTAGAAAGAATTTTATTAAAATTTTAGAAAATAATTGAATTCTTTTGGATTTATGACGAATTAAGAAAAAAATTGAATTCTTTCGTGGAATTTTATTGATAATAAATTTTTTGGCCTCATGACTGTATATGCCTCCTTAAAAAACAATTGAATTGTTTCGAAGGTTTTATCAAAATTTTGTTGAAAATAATTGAATTTTATTAATATTTTAAAAAATAATTGTATTCTTTCGTGAAATTTTATTAAAATTGTATTAAAAATCATTAAATTCCTCCGAATAAAATTAATTGAATTTATCCAAAGAATGTTATTATTACTGATAATAATAATAATTGAATTATTTTAAAAAAATTAATTAGAATTTTTGGAAGTAATTGAATGTTTTAAAAGAATATTATTAAAAATTTGGAAAATAATTGATTTCTTTACAGCATTTCAAAGAATTTTCTTAAAATTTTTTTTAAATAATTGAATTTTTCCCAAGAATGTTATTATTTATGGAAATAATTGAATTCTTCCGTAGAATTGATTTAAAATTTTAAAAAATATAAACAATAATGATTAATTATTTACTTAATAAGTGAATTTTTTAAATTTTAATTATGAAATTATTCAAAAATTTATATTTGAAAATAAAAAATTTTGTAATTTGCATAATAATAATAAATTGAATGCGACTGACTTCAGATGTTGACAAAATGAATAAATGAAAAAAATTGGAATCGGAAGTACAAAAGAAGGAATAAAATAAAGTATAATTGCATAGAGAAATTTGGATTGCTTAAAAACAATATTCTTATTTTTATTTATTTATCACACACCAATATACAAAAATGAACCGTATTAATATCAGATTATAATATACTACTAAATTCAATTATTTTTAATAAAGATAATATCTGAGTATCTTACAAGATTAGAATGATGCTTCAACTTTGAAACAAAATCATCTACAGCATTCTTTCACAGTTGGCACAGAAATTCCTGTAGAAAATAGTTTTCTACGCTCGCTAGCGATTATAAATAATTATTATAATTTACGGAATCTTAAAGACCTAAAAGAGTGTCCACTATTGTTTATAGTTTTGACGGAAAAATAATTCAAGTTTTTGCCTAACTGTATATTATATAGATATGTTCTCTCCATATCAGATTAATTTCAAAACAGAAACATATATATATTTTTTTTCTTTTTTATAAATACATTCTCTCTCTATTTCACTCTCATACACACACACTTTCTCTCTCTTGTTTATAAACAACAAAAACACAATAATTCTTTTTCAAATAAAACTAAATTTTGAGATAATATTTTCCCGTTAATTCCACTGGTTTGAAATTTATATCAAACATGGAGATTTGGCAATAAGGTAATCTCGAATTATGCTATAAATCACCAAGACGAATCAATACTATAGTTTAAAATGCGCCTATCATTTTTATTCCTTAACAATTTTTTTATACATATATATTTAATTAAATATGTCAATTATTGTTTAGTAGCATAATTAATTTCTATAATTTAATATAATTTTTTATTATTTTAATAAAAAAAAACAAGTTCTCTCGTTCTAATGAAAAGAATTGTTTTTCACAATTTTTCTGATAAATTATATTTACTCTTAATAATAATCTTTACATTAATATTTTAGCTCCAGAAACTTGAGAGATTAAATTTAAAAAAAAAACGTTCAATTAAGGTATATAAACCTGAAAAACAGTTCTTAAAAAACAATAAATTTTTATTAATACTTCCATTTTCGACTAATTATTTGAAATATTTGTGTTTTCCCTTTTTGATAAAAGTTTACAAAAAGTCTATTGTTAAATAAATATTTACTTGAATCAAATAATTTTTATTAAAATACTTATAATAATATAAATTTCCATAAAATTTTTCAGACAAAAAAATTTAATTATTTACAAAAATTTTAATAAAATCCTTCCCAAAAATTCAATTATTTCAAAAAATGTAATAAAATTTTTCACATAAATTCAATTATTAAAAAAAAATTTAATTAAATTCCTTTTAAGAATTCAATAATTCAATGATTATAAAAATAATTATTATTTTCATAAATAATAAAATTTTCCAAAAGAATTCAATTATTTAAAAATATTTTTATAAAATTCAATTATTTTCAGAAATAATAAAATTCATTGCAAAATTTGCATTATTTTTAAAACTTTTCAATTATTTCACGGAATTCAATGAAAATTGTATTGAAAATAATTAAATTCTCACAAGGAATTGTAAGAAAATTCTTGAGAATAATTGAATTTTTTTAAAGAATTTCATTAAAATATTAAAAACAATTGAATCTTATTAAGAAATCTTAACGAGATTTTTGGATAACTGTATTAAAAATAATTGAATTTTTAAGAAAAAGTTTTATCAAAACTTTTGATAATATTTGAACTTCTGCGAAAATTTTGATCCTTATTAAAATAATTGATAATTTAATTCTTGCCAAGAATTTTATTAAAATTTTTAAAAATAATTGAATTTCCGCGAACTTTTCATAAGAATTTAATTATTTTTTAAAACTTTAATAAAATTAGTTGCAAAAATTCAATTTTTTTCTTAAATAATAAAATTCTTAGCAGGACTTCAATTTTTTAAAAAAAATTGAATAAAAATTCATTGTAAGAATTCAATTATTTTTTTAATAATTTAAAATAAATTCCTCGAAAAATGGAATTATTTTCACAAATTTTTTTGGAAAAATTCAATTACCTTTCAGAAATAATGAAATTCTTCGCTGAAATTCAAATATTTTCAAAATCTACTATTCTAATAAAATTTCTCAAAAGAATTGAATTATTTTTAAAAAATGTAATAAAAATTTGTTGCAAGAATTGAATTATTTTTTTAAATAGTAAAATTCTTCACAGGATTTCAATTATTTAAAAAAAATGTAATAAATTTCGTAGCAAGAATTTATTTATTTTCGTAAATAGTAAAATTCTTCTCAGAATTTCAATTATTTAACAGAAATGTAATAAAATTCGTTATGAGAATTAAATTTTTTTTATAAATAATAAAATTCTTCACGGCATTTCAATTATTTAAAAGAAATGTAATAAATATCGTTGCAAGTATTCAATTGTTTTCCTAAATAATAAAATTCTTTACAGGATTTCAATTATTTAAAAAAAGTGTAATAAGAATTTGTTTCAACAAATTAATTATTCTTCTAAATAATAAAATTCTTCACAGGATTTAAATTATTTTTATTACAATTTTAAGTAAATTTTGCGAAAAATTGAAATTATTTTCAAAAATTTTATTAAAATTCTTCGAAAGAATTCAATTGAGATTCTACGATGAGTTTTATTTTATTCATGAAAATAATTGAAACTCTGTAAAAAATTTTATTATTATTTATGAAAATAATTGAATTATAGCGAAGATATTTATAAAAAATTTGTAAATAGTTAAATTCCTGTGAAATTTTTATTGTTTAGGAAAATAATTGAATGTTTGCTTAGAATTTTATCGACATTCTTTTTTAAATAATTGAATTCTTTTGAAAAATTTTATTAAAATTTTTCGAAAATAATTGAATTTCTACGAAGAATTTTATTACTTTTGAAAAGAATCGAATTTCTGCAATTATTTGTAACTTCTTCAAAAATTTACTTTTTTTTCCACTACTTTAATAAAAATTCCTGTCTTTTCCCTGAATTCCAAGATTTTCCTGACTTGTGCTAACCCTCTCAGTGTTTACATACCTTAATTTGTAAATTTTTTTTTCCGTTACAATATTCCTTAAAATATATTTAGAATTTTTTTTCTAAATTCTGTTAGCATTTCGAAACACAATTTTATTTTATTTTTTTAACACAATTGCAAAAAATAATAATTTTCATTAGAAAGTTTCGTAGTATTTACCCCCCCTGAATTCTATTTGTTAGGTTCGTTGGTTAAGATTTCGAAAAATAATGAAATAAATATTAGAATAAGATTTGTAATATTTTAAAACGTTACATTGCTTATTTGCGGAATAAAAACGAAGGTGAATTTTCGAAAATATTCATTTGCCTCGAATCATTCCTATTAAAAACATGGAATGTATTATTTTTTTTAGATGCCTTAATAATATATGATTATATCACAAGAAAGATTCAAATGCTCTGTACATATTCTCGGAACATCAAATGCTCTCAAGTATAACTTATTTCGAATTTTTTTTTTAACGACTAATGTATAGTTTACAAAGTTAGATATGTCTCAGGTTCACCTGATATTGTACTTGAATGCGAATTCAAAAGCGCTTCTTGCACTTGGCCGTACGCGCATTTAAATATAATATATATTTATTTAAATACATAGTGCGCGGCTTTTTTTCTTGTTCTTTTTTTCTATAATAATAATCTCTAATACCTTTTTTTTATTTATGTGAATGTGTGTTTTTATTTTTCTCCCCTCTAGAGTCATCATTTCGCATCGACAAAATTCTCAAGGTTTCATTGCTTTTCCCCTAATTATGATATTCGAAGTTTTTGTTTTTTTAAAATTGGCACATAACAAATGGCAAGTTTCGTATTGGCACGACTACTGGAAGATTTGTTTTGGGAAGATTTCGTCGATGTTTGTATAACTTAATTTATTTTAAGATATTCCACATTTATATTTTTTTTTAAGAAAAAAATGCTCGTGCCTCGAAAGACATTTTCATTTTTTTTTCTTTTGCCAATTTATATGTTTAATAAGTACTTAACAATTATTGTACAGATATGACACAACGAATTTGAGAAACATTATTCACAGTATTACACATTCGAGACGAAATTACAGAATTTTCGAAAAATCAGACGCAGTCGCCTAAGAACCGTAAATTCGCGACAACTATTGTCGAGAGTCAAAAAATGAAAAATCGCGGAAAAATTCTGAGTCAGTTGGGTCGAAATTTTTTTATTGATGAGAATCAGTCATCAATCAGTCGAAAATAATTTATTTCTGTATTTTAAAAATTTTTGTCTCTCTTTACTTGACTGACTTTGTAACATCCTCAACTCTCGATGAGATCATTGAAGTGAATTTTAACAAACGAGAAAAAGTAGAGAAATTAAAAGACACTTCTGATATTTAGACCTACGCGTCTATTGATTCGTTTTCGTCTTTGAAGTTCTGATTTGAGTTCCTAATCATATACAGATAATATTTTTGACCAGCCAACCTCAACTACAGGATTTGCGTATACATATTCGCGTGAATACGCACGTGCACCTTTTTCTTTTTTTTTTTTTTTGTTGTGAAAAGTGCACAATTGCACGTGGTCCACTGATAGAGTAAGCTTGTCGTGACGACGCGACGAGCGAAGGTTCAATTATAGGGCCAGGAATGTCTGATTGACGTGACCACGTTGGAGGTAGGCGGATCATCTGGGCGTCACTTTTTCATGTCATTCATTAATGATCCGTCCTTATTTTTATTTGCATCTAGACTCGATTGCTGACTGCTGGTTACGCCACTGCCATTTCCTGGATACATTTTCTCCATATGATTTAGAGATTCGCTCAGGAACTTCTGCAAAAGGAAAAATTTAATTAATAATCTGGTTTGAAAAAATATTTAAAACATTTTAAAGATTCTGAACCCGAAAATCAAAATAATTGAACTTCTTCAAATATTTTAAATTTTATTTATTTATTTCTAAAATATTTTAACCATTTTAAAGATTCTGAACCCGAAAATCAAAATAATTGAATTTCTTCAACCACTTGGAACCTATTTTAATAGAACTTATTTATACAGAGTGATACCGGTCACATGTATGTGAAAATTCCGCGAAAGAAAAACACCACTGCACAAGTTGAGAACCCTTCTTTTTGAAGGTCTCAACTTCGTGAAAATGTGGTATCTTCCCTTGGGTTGACTTTTTCGACATCGACATGTAGAAAAAATTAGTCTAGCTGGGTCTTACAAGTCGATTTCCCTGACCGCGCGCCTATCTCTGCCTTTTCTATCTCTGTCTCTCTCTACTCTACGTTTCCGTTTTTCCTCTTTCGCATTCCTCCCCAGCAAAGATTCAAAGGGCCCAGCAACCACTATATATATATATATATATATATATACTTCGAGTTAAAATTCGTTTTAACAATTTTGAAATTAACAGCATATATTGTAATAATGATTTGATAATCATTGGTACTTATACTTATATTGTTTTACTAAGAATTAGTTTAACAATATCTGACTGATTAAGTATAAATATTATTATTCACATTATTATAATTATTGTTACATTAGTGTTGTTATTATTAATACTGTTAATATTATCAACACTATTAGGTTTTATTGAATTGCTGTTCATTTTTTAACAATTTAATGTTAATTATTTTTCCTTGAAGAAATAATTCTTTCAATGTTTAAAAATAATAATTTTATTATTAATACGTTTATATTGTCTTGAGTATTAATTTTGATTATTGTTTAATTGTTTAATTAATAAATAAATTAGTATTAATTAAATAATTAATAAATCAATAACAAATTAAATAAAGAGATAAATATATTCTTTTATTTATAATATAATTAAACAACGTTATGCAAATTATATGCATTATTATGTCTGAATTAGGGTAAAATTAATGTAAAATTAGATTTTAAGTTTAATTAAGTTTATTTTATATTTTAATATTAATTTTAGTTATTTGTAAGCTGACTAGCAAGTTCGTCTCTTGTTATCCCTCTTACATGTATAAAAAATCTTCCCCTTCCGAGAGGCAGATTTTTTATGCATAGAGTTATTGGGTATAAAAGGCGACGAAAATGCCCAGTCAGGGAGTCACTTCGCCGCCAACCCTTGTAACGGAACTACTTCCGTAGTCTCCTCCCAAATAAAACCCTAAATAAAATTTTAAAAGTTCAACTTAACAGTTGTCTCTTTTCTTTTACCTACACTACTCTACGCAAGTCCCCAGTACATCTTACCGTACACACTGGCCTTGGCATTACGGGATTTATTTCCTGACTTTGCCGGCGCGTGAGACGGTACTTTCGTACTCCCTGCACCACATACTCAACTTACACACTATCATACACATATTTGTACATCTTACCGTGCACACTGGCCTTGGCATTACGGGATTTATTTCCTGACTTTGCCGGCGCGTGAGACGGTACTTTCGTACTCCATTCACCACCTACTCAACTTACACACTATCATACACCTATTTGTACATCTTACCGTACACACTGGCCTTGGCATTACGGGATTCATTTCCTGACTTTGCCGGCGCGTGAGTCGGTATTTTCGTACTTAAACCCTTACACCCACAAACGTTTAAACCCCAATCTAACACCGCACTGATCGTAGCCATACGGGAATTAATTTTCCTTGCTTGTCTCTATGCGTGAGGTGGACGAAAGGGACGACCGTTTTTGGGGTTAATGGGTCTGACGTCATAGAGAGTTTGCCACTTTGACAGAGTCGGGCGGGATTTGTTTCCTGTTTCTGTGCACTGGGCGAGAGGCAGAATCTCATGGCGACAGTAGTATGATACTTGTGTAAACTATACTTTCACTACAGTACACAACTTTATTTGTAAACTTTTCCTGAATTTTATGATTAATAACAATTAATTATTAACTTTCAGACTTTGCTTAAATTTGAACTTCTCTCATAAGTGAACCATTAACCAAGCATCTAATTACAAATTTATTAATTAATTATTTGTAATTGCACATTTTCAAACACCAGACATGTAAACAAACCATCCTAACCTTTAAGTTTGTTTACGTTCGTGTGTTTAAATTCCTCCTCGATTCGACGCTAGCTAAGCTAACCTCAAATTTGGTCTGCTTCTGAGCATTTAAATCTCCTCAAGGCATCCTCGCCAATCTCGATAGTACCCCGTCGACTATCGATTATCGATTATCGACTATCGATTATCGAACATCGAGATATCGATATATTGCTGACGTCACGGTTTAACGCCGGCTACGGAGAAGCTGCCTTCCCCTAAGGCCCAGCTACTCTGACGTCACTGTCGCACTACGAAGGTGCTACATAAGTATCGAACGCCGAGGCGTTATTCATTTTCTCCCGATACGAAATATCAATCCGTTCTTTGCCCGGTCCCTTCCCTTCACACGGTGACCGGTAACAAGAGTTGTGACAAAAAATTAATTTTTTTCCCTGATTTCCAGACAAAATTTTGACTTTTTCCCTGACCCTACAAAATATTCTGATTCACTCTAAAAATTATTAAATACTCGAAAAAATGTTTTACTATTATTTGCGAATTTCTCTAATTGTCAAATTATTCAAAATTAAAAAAATTTTTAAAAAAACAATTATTCGAAACATTAATAAGTTTTTTTAAAAATAAATATTTAATCACTATTACTTTTCCATAGGAATTTTAAGATTTTAATAGAATTCTTGACAAAAGTTCAATTATTTTCAAAAATTTCCTTCAATTCAATTATTATTTTCAATATCTACTATTTTGAATTTTAATAAAAAATTCCCTTAAAGAATTAAATCATTAAAACAAATGTATATAAATATTTATAAACATTCAATTATTTAAAACACAATCATAAAACATTATCATAAAACTTTTCCTAAAAAGTCAATTATTAAATAGATTTTTATAAAATTTTTCGGAAATATTCAATTATTTTTATAAATAATAAACATATTCTCAGAAAGACAATTATTTTCAAAAATAATAAAATTCTTTTTAGGAATTCAATTATTTTCATAAGTATAATAATACTCATTGCAGAATTTCAATTATTTTTAATATCATTTGAAAGAAATTTTTTTTTAAAAATGCGATTATTCTTAAAAATTTAATACTTAGTTTTGTCAGTACATTTTTCATTAAAATTCTTGAAAAAAAATAAATTATTTTCAAAAATTTTAATAAAATTCTTTGTAACAATTTAATTATTTTTTTAAAATTTGAATAAAATTCATCGTAGAAATTTAATTAATTTCAAAAATTTGCATAAAGTCAATTATTTGTAATATCTAGGAACTGTTTCAATAAAAGCTTTTTAAGAGATATAATTTCATTTTTAAATTTCATTTTTAAATTCATAAGCAGTTAATTTTAAGAAACAGGTATTCAATTATTTAAAACACAATTTTCATAAAATTTTTCAAAAAAAAAAATGAAATTATTTAGAAAATTTTACATAAAATCCTTCGCAAGAATTCAATTATTTTCATAAATATTAAATTCTTTATTGGATTTCAATTATTAAAAAAAAATAATAAAATTCGTTGCAAAAATCAATTATTTTCAACTTTCATAAGTAATTAAATTCTTCGCTAAAATTTAAATATTTTCAAAATCTACTATTTTAATAAAATTTCTCAAAAAAATTTAATTATTTAAAAAAAATGTTATAAAATTCTTTGCATAAATCAATGATATTCATAAATAATAAAATTCTTTACAGGAATTTAATTATTTAAAAAAATGTAATAAAAAATCGTTGCAAGACTTCTAAAATTTTGAAAATTCTACGAGAATTAAATTATTTAAATACAAAAATAAACAATTTATTGAATAATTGAATGTTTCTTTAAATTTAATACTCATAAACAATTTTATTAAGAAATTTTTAAATAATTGAATTTATGTTATGAATTATATTAAAGTTTTCAAAAATAATTCAATTCCTGTGAAAAATTCGCTGAAATTCAATTATTTTCAAGAATTTTAATTAAAGTCCTTGTATAAATTAAAAATAACAAAATTCTTTACAAATCTTCAATTACTTTTAGAAATTTAAAAAAAATTTCTCATGAATTTAAAATATTTTCATTAAATACTAAAAATCTTTGCAGAAATTCAATTATTTTCAAAAATTTTAATAAAATTCTTGTCAATAATTCAGTTATCAATTATTTTTACAAATATCAAAATTTTTGAAGAAATTCAAATATTTTCGAAAGTTTTTGATAAAACTCTTTCTTATAAATTCAATTATTTTTAATACAATTTTCCAAAAATCTCAAAAACATTTCTCGATAAAATTTAATTGTTTTGAAAATTTTAATGAAATTCTTCAAAAGAATTCAATTATTCTTAAGAATTTTGTTATAATTCCTTATAAGAATTAAATTATTTTCAATACAATTTTAATTGAATTTCATGAAATAATTAAAAATTTTTGAAAATAATTGAAATTTGACAATGAATTTTATTCTTTCTGAAAATAATTGAATTTTCGGGAAGAATCTTATAAAAATATTTTTAAATAGGTAATAGAATTCTAATGAAAAGTTATATTATTTGTAAAAATAATTGAATTCTTGCAAAAAATGTTATATTGCTTAAAATTTTACATAATTTATGATAATAATTAAAGTTTTTCGAGGAATATTAAACTTACATTTAAAATAATTCAATTTTTATATAGAATTTTATTTAAACTTTTGAAAGTAATTGAAATTTTTAGAGAAGTTTTATTAAAATTGTAGTTAAAATAATTAAAGTTTTGCAAAGAATTTTATTATTTGCGAAAATAATTAAATGTCTGCGTAGAATTTTATTACAATTTTTATTTAAATAATTGATTTCTTTTGGGAAATTTTATTAAATTAGTAGATATTGAAAATTCGATTATGAGGCAAATAAAAACTACGACAAAATTCATTTTTAGTATTTTAACAAAAATCCCTGACGTTTTTCTGATTTCCCTGACCTGTGGCAACACTGTTATATATCTCCCTTTTTTTCAAAAAGAATTATTTTTTCTCTCACTATATCAGCAGAATATTTTCAAAATTACAAGACGCAACCAGTTGTGCCGTATAGGAAAATCGAAAAACAAAATATGCGGTGTTTCCAATGCAAAAAAAACACTCGCCATTCAAGAAATAGCAATCTGCAATCTAACAGCAAATAACTATTAGTTTTTGTTTGTAAACACAGAAACTAGTTTTCCACGTTGGATTCATTACGGAATGTGCAACTTATTTCTTAAAAAAAAGACGAGAACATTAAATTATGCCCTGTGTATGGAGAATCTCCTATTTACTCCATTCACTTGATAATATATAACAGAATCAAAGTTATTTAAATTCTTTAATGCTTCCTCCATCTCTTTCACTATCGTTAGCTTCTTCATTTCCAAAAGTATGCGAGATCAAAGCTTTGCAACTTCGTTTAATTTTTAAATGAAAAACTATTTAAACATGAAATTAATTATTCAGAATGTAATTTTTACCTGTATCGCTGTGAGGACAGCAACAATTGCAGGACTTCCAAATCCATGTGATATAAGAGAAAAATGTGTGAGATGTCTCTGTATACTTGGATCAAGAATATGTTGTGGCCGTGTATTACACAAGGGTGATCGGTCTTGATTCAGAAGGTCCATCACCTCTTTGATGATTTGCCTAAAGCAAATTAATAATTCAAATTAATAATGCAATATAGCGTACAAATTATAATATTAAACATTCACAAGGCTCGAACAAGTGAAATTATTTAAAAATACGGACTTTACGGACCAAAAATAAAAAATTAGGGACCATTTACGGACCAATAATTACTGACAAAAATATAATCAGTCCGAGTCAAATAAGAGAACGTTTTACTAAAAACTAGAAATTTAATTTTTCATAACTATATAACATGAAGATATCTTTCTTCGTGTTTTATAATAAATCCAGATGGCAAATTGATAAAATCATTATATTTTGTTACTGCAACTTCTTCAAAATTATTTTCAACATTTCAATTCAATTATTATTTTCTAGAATTTTTAACTCAAATTTTTCTCTAAATCAAATATTTTTAATAATTTTCGAAAAACTTCCTTGATAATTTTCAAATTCATTTGTTTACAATTCAATTTTACGAAATTTCAATTATTCGAAAATTCTTCAATTAAATATATATTAGAAAATAACAACTTCCAAAAATTTCAAAAAAAATTCAATTAAATCTTTTGAAAAAAATTAATTTCACAGAATCGTTAGTTAAAATTTTAATTTGAAACCTTTTTAGAATTCAATTATTTCTAAAAATTCATGCTATAATGCTTTTTAATATTCAATTACTATCTATAAAATTTTAACTGAAATTAATTTTTAAATCAAATTTTATTAGAAAATTCAACTAGAATTCCATTATTTAAATACAAAAATTAATAACTTATTGAATAATTGAATGTTTTATTAAATTGAATTCTCATAAAGAATTTTATCAACAAATTTGTAAATAACTCAATTCTTTTGACAAATTGTAATAAAATTTTTAAGAATAATTACATTTTTCGAGAAATTCTATTAAAATTGAATTTAAAATAATTTAAATTCTGTGATGAGTTTTATTATTTATGAAAATAATGAAATTACTGGGGAAGAAATTTGTAAAAAAAATTGTAAATCATTGAATTCCTTGTAAAATTTTAATTATTTTATGAATATAATAAAATGTTTGCGCAGAATTTCATTACAATTTTTTTAAATAATTGAATTCTTTTGAAAAATTTTATTAAAATATAATAGGTATTGAAAATTATTGAATTCAGGAAAATTTTTGAAAATAATTGAAATTTTTGCCGAGAATTTTATCAAAATTTTTAAAAATAATTGAATTAATGCGAAGAATTTTATGGAAATTTTTAAAAATAATTGAAATTCTGTAAAGCATTTTGATTATTTTTAAAAATAATTCAATTCTTACGAAGAACTTTATTAATTTTTTTAAATCATTGAATTCTAGCGAAGAATTTTATAAAAATCATTTTAAATAATTGATTTTTTTCGAAAAATTTTATGAAAATTGTATTTGCAAATAATTCAATTCCTGCGAAAATTTTATTATTTACGAAAATAATTGAATCTCTGTAAAAATTTTAATTTATTTCTTTTATTTTTTTTATTTTATATTATTTATGAAAATAATTGAATTATTGCGTAAAAATTTAAAAAAAAATTTGCAAATCATTAAATTCTTGCACAGATTTTATCAGATAATTTGATAATAATTGAATTTCTTCGAAGAATTTTATTATTTATGAAAAGAATTGAATTTGGAATGAATTTTATTAAATTTTTTCATAATCTTAATTAAATTCTTTGGAAGAATTTCATTGAATTTTTTTAAAATACTGGAATTTCTTTAATAATTTTAATTGAAAGTTTTCAAAGTAATTGAATTTTATTTGAACAATTTCTTTCAAATTTTTATAATAATTCTCTTTCTTAATAATTGAAATTAAACATTTAATTCTTGAATTTTATTAAAATTTTTAGAAAAAAATTGAATTCTTTTGAAAAATTTCTGTAATTTATTGAATATAATCGAATTTGTTAAAATTGCATTGAAAATAATTGAATGCCTGAGAAGAATTTTATTATTTATGAAAAATAATTTAATTCTTGTGATGAATTTTACTATTTATAAAAACAATTGAATTGTTTCGAAGGATTTATTAAAATTTTAGAAAATAATTGGATTCTTTCGAAAAATGTTATTAAGAATTTTTTTAAAAATTGAATTCTTTCATGAAATGTTATTAAAGTTGTATTAAAAATAATTGAATTTTTGCAAAGAATTTTATTACTTTTGAAAATAATTGAATTTTTGCAATTATTTGTAACTTCTCAAGAGTTCTTCAAATTATATCGTTAAATTTGCGAACTTTTCTTGATTTTTCAATGAAATTACAAACTTTACGGATCTTTTTTTTTTAAACTGACTTTTACGGACTTTTGAAGCAAAATTAATTCACGGACTTTTACTGGATATTGCAGTAAACATAAAGGTAAACTATACAAATTATATTTAATTAATTAAAAATTTGTTAATTGCTGTTGCTTTAATTTGAACATTAAATTCGTATTTTTTATTTTCGGTATAAGATATAAGACAATGTTAGTATTTATTGATAGTGTATTTTAATAAAATTAAAGGATAAAAACTAATAGAGACATAATTTTTTGAAAATTTGGTTAAATATTTACTTGGTGGCATGAAGAAGTTCTTTTCTCCTATAAGAATCCTGTGGTTCGCAATGCTGTCGACTAAGGTATTCGGCAACTTGCTTCGCTGGAAATTCCGTTTCACAAACATATCCAAAGTCTCTGGCTAGGTGAATAGCCTCTCCTGTAACCAAAAATTAATAATTAACTTTTAATATTTTTTAAACTCTTATTATGTATTTACGTATGTTTCTAAACATTCAAATAATTTCCTCAAGTTTCATTAAGATTAAAGGATCACTTGAAGGTATAGAACACTTACTTTCTAAATTATATAGTAACTTTTTTTTAGTTACTGTTTTAATTTCAGGCTAGATTGACAGATAGTTCATTTACATTTTTTGTAAAACATTTTAGTGTGTAGAATGTATTTAGTACTAATCAGAATACTCTAATAATTATATAATATTTGTTGGATTGAAATCTTAATAAATACTTGGTGAAATTTCAATACACTTTACTTTTAAAGCTTTAATTTTACATACGCCCCTGATTGTTTAGGTCAGGTTTATGAGTAATGTGTTTTTATTTTGTGGGAGTAGATAATGCTGCACGCCGAATGATTTTGGTCTGTAAATTCTGAACATATAATTGAGCACATCCTTAAAATAACAATTATTATAAAAATTGAATTTTGTTGTTTTATTTCACTTCTGTTATGAAAGGAGACGAAAAACCAAATGGTATCTATTTATTCGATGTGAATTACTATAGTGTAGACATAACTTCTATAAGTATTTAACTCTCGGCAGCGTTGTTTCAGTGAACTGTGATGTGCTTCTATAGAGTTACGATTAAATTATTCTTTTTAAAATTATAAATCGTAACACTTTCAAAATAAAACGAATAGTAATCGTTGATCTTTCAAGAATGACAAATTTGGACTTTTCAAGGTATGAAAATAACTAAATTATTGTTAGATTTAAATGCAGATTTTATATTATTGTACTCAAAAAGTACTAGTATATTTATATCCAAGTACTGTATATAATAATAGTACTCATTAATAAACATGATTTTCAATAAAATATTATTTATAATACAATATTTATAATTATGGTTAACATAATAATATATAATGACGTTTTTTTTCTTTTTCGAGACATCAACTATTTAATTAATAAAAATTGAAATAATTTATTATCTTTCTATAATTCGAATTCACTTTCAGAAAAAAGTTTGCATCCCAATTCTTTTGAAGCAAATAAGCCGTGTCTATTTAAACTTGGTACAACACAACAATCTACATCATTTTTCCAAAGAAAGCGTACAGTAAATACAAGTATCCTTAAAAATACCAAAGCGATTGAAACAACAAGTATCATGAATATTAAGGGTGGAACAAAATTACATAGATTTCAACCCGTCGTAGACTTTGAATATGTTGCGCAAAATAACAAATTCCATTCTACTAGGAAAGTCAACAAATTTCATTGCATAACTTTAATGAAGCTATACATTAATAAATCATTCGAGGAACTGAGATTTGAGGATTACAGCATGGACGGAAACTCAAAAAAGAACGGTATTTTTCAAAATTATATTGCACATAGGTTAAGTCCGAGGGAGATGAGCATAGTTTTTTTTAAAGTACTGTAAAAATTATAAAAAAACAAATTCTGTTCAAACTTTTATTGCAATAATTAAATATTGAACACTTAACTTTAAAATAATGAAAAATGAATCCAATCTTCAATCAATGTCGTTTGATTGTAACTTTTGCCTCATCCTACAAATAGATCTCCATCTCTGTTGTCAATTAGATCAATTATTTTGTTCTCGGACATTTTTAATTTGCTTTTCTTTAATATTTCTTAAGTATCTTAATATTAACATAAAAAATTTTAAATATAAGTCATTAATGGTCATCTCACATGTTTTTGAGACATTAAAACGTTCCACATTAAAACGCATGAAACACACTTATTGTGTTCTCAAACATCAAATGCACATGGAATAAAAATCACATCTTATAAAACACTATTTAAATGCACTTTATTTAAAATTTTTTCGACAGGGTATCGGTTTTCCTCGCCACTAAATTCTCTTGAAACATATAAACCAAGTGGATTCAAATTTAATTCATCACAACTACCCATATCATTTGGTCAAACAAACACTACAGCAAGTACGAGTTTCCTTGATAATTCGAAAGCGTTTCAATCAGCAAGTACCATGAATGTTAAGCCTGGAACTAGTTTAGAACTACAACCAAGAAAAAAAGGTATTTTTTAAAATTTATATTGCTCCAGTACATAATTTCTATTCTATCATTTGTTTTTACTTTGAATTTTTTAAATTTTAATTTAACAAAAAAAAAAGAAATCTTTACTTTAATTACTTTATACTCGAATGAAAAATGTATATAATTATTTAACAGATGAAAAAACAGGAAGTTTTGATTTCCGGTCCCAGAAAATTAAATTTCAAAACACAAATTCATCAGGAAACAGTCTGACCTCGTCTTTACAACAAACTGATCCAGTGCAGCAAATATTGACAGAATTATCAGTGAAATTAAATAATTTTGAGGGAATTTTAACTAGTGCTTTGGGACGAATTGACACAATGGAAAATGATGTAAAACAAATCAAAACTTACGTTTCATTAGTAAACAAACGACTATCTTATCAAGATGATAAAAAACTCTTGAGCAAAATTGATGAAATTGAAGATCGCATGAGACGAGAATCAAATGTAATTTTATTCGGCTTGCCTGAAGCAGATAGTGTTTTAACATTTAAGGAGAAATATAATTGTGATCGCGATAAAATAATCGCTATATTAAATACTTTACTGCCTGATAATGTACCTAAAATAGAAACTGTTCAACGTTTTGGAAAACAATCCGAGATGGCTCCACAATGTCGACCATTGCGTGTAACGTTTGTTGACAAGCAATCTGTCAAAGATGTCACTGCTGCCTTCAAAAAACTAAAGATGCAGCAGGAACAACTTCCAGAGAATATACCAGATTCTCTATCTATAAGTTGGGATAAAACTCGGATACAATTGAAAGAGTACAAAAAGGTGCGAATGGAATTGGACAGGCGTTTGGCAAATGGAGAAGAGGGAATCTGCATCAATTACAAAAATGGCAATCCTGTCATTGTTCCTCAACGTCTCTAAAAAGAATAGATTTTTTAAAATAAATATTTTATTTTTCTACTCACTTATTGTACGTTATATATTCGAGTCTGTCTATTTTTAAGGTTTGGTGAAACTTTATTTTAATACTTAGTAAAATATAAAATACTTAATAAAATAAATAATCTAAATCTGCAGAAAATCAGAAAAAAAGTTACTGGAAAACTTGCTAGACTTTTTCGCAAATTCTTAATTGCAAAAAAATCTATCTACTGAAGAAGAAGAAGAAGAAGAAGAAGAAGAGTTTCTTTTGAAGAATTGTGTGCTTATCAAAATGTAGATTATCGCTCGAAAAATAATTCCGGAAATCAGTTTTAACGAGTAGTGAATTGAGAGAGGGTGTCCCAATTTAGATAATTCGCAAACTGCAGGTGCCTCGCGCCTAAGGAGGCTCAAGGTAAAAGGGAAAACCCCCGGGTGGCGTTTATCATGATAATAGAACTCAGCGGGTGTACTTCCTTCAACCTGTGGAGTTACATGAACCCTTTCTCTCAAAAGTGAGAGGAAAGTATTTCATAGAAAAAGAGAAAGAAGTGAATAAAGAAGACCAAAATCAGAAAGTAGAAATAATCAGGGTTATCAGAAAAAAATTAATTTCATTTTTCCCTGATTTCCAGATAAAATTTTAACTTTTTCCCTGACCCTAAAGAATATTCTAATTCACTCTGAAAACGATTTAATCATTATTATTCTTCCATAAAAATCAAGATTTTTAAAACTTTTAAATTCAATTCTTTTGAAATTTAATAACTATTAATTTTTTACATTGTTTTTACAAGTAATAAAATTTTACACATGAATTCAATTGTTTAAAAAAATATAATTATTTTCAAACATTTTTTGCAAGAATTCAATTACATTTCACAAATAATGAAATTCTCTGCTGAAATTCAAATATTTTCAAAATCTACCATTTTAATAAAATTTCTCAAAAGAATTCAATTATTTCAAAAAAATGTAATAACATTAATTGCAAAAATTCAATTATTTTCATAAATAATAAAATTCTTCACAGGATTTCTATTATTTAAAACAAATTTAATAAAATTCGGTGCAATAATTCAATAATTTTCATAAATAATAAAATTCTTCACTGGATTTCAATTATTTTAAAAAAGTATAATAAAAATTCGTGACAAGAATGCAGTTATTCTCCTAAATAATAAAATTTTTAACAGGATTTTAATTATTTTTAATACATTTTTAAGTAAATTCTTCGGAAATTGTAATTATTTTCAAAAATTTTAGTAAAATTCTTCGTAAGAATTCAATTATTTTATTATTTCAATAAATTATTAAAAATCAAAAATAATAAAATATTCGCAGAATTTCAATATTTTTAATACAATTTTTAATATATTCTTTGAAAAATGTATTTATTCTTGAAAATTTTAATAAAAATTCACAAAATTTCAATTATTTAAAAAATGTTTTAAAAATTCAATACAAGAATTCAATTATTCTCCTAAATAATAAAATTCTTCACATAATTTCACTTATTTTAATGTACTTTAAAATAAATTCTTCGAAAAATGTAAGTACTTAGTTACAAAAATTTTATTAAAATTCTTCGAAAGAATTTAATTATTAATTGTTTTGAATAATTTTTGCAAAAGTTCCTTAATAATTTACAAATCTATTTGTTTACAATTCAATTAAAGAAAAAACTTCTATTAAATATTTAAAATATAAAATCTTGAAATAATTTTAAAAGAAAATTGAATTAAACTTTTTTTAAAAAAAATTAATTCTACAGAATTATCAGTTAAAAGTATGAAAAATTCAAATATTCAAAGATTTTGATTTGAATTCTTTTTAAAAATCAATTATTTTTAAAAATTCATGTTACAATGCTTTTAATATTCAATTATATTATCTAAAATTTTAACTGAAATTATCAATTTTTATTAGAAAATTCTATGAGAATTCAATTATTTAAATACAAAAATAAATAATTTATTGAATATTTATTCAATGTTTCTTAAAATTGAATTCTCATAAAGAATTGAATTTTTTCGTACGAATTTTAATATAATTTTCAAGAATAATTACATTTCTAGAGGAATTCAAATGAAATTGTATTAAAAATTATTGAAATTTTTTGATGAGTTTTATTATTCATGAAAATAATTGAATCTCTGTAAAAAATTTTATTATTTATGGAAATAATTGAATTGTAGCTAAGAAATTTACAAAAAGTTTGTAAATAATTGAATTTCTGTGAAATTTTTATTATTTATGAAAATAATTTAATGTTTGCTTTGAATTTTATCAACATTTTTTTTTAAATAATTTAATTCTTTTGAAAAATTTTATTAAAATAGTAAATATTGAAAATCATTAAATTGGGAAAAATTTTTGAAAATAATTTAAGTTTTGCCAAGAATTTTATTATTTTTAAAGATAATAATTGAAATTTTGATTAGATTTTTTTTTATTTCTTCATCATAATTGAATTTCTGCGAAGAATTTGATGACTTTTGAAAATAATTGAATTTCTGCAATCATTTGTATTTTCTCAAAAATTGAATTTTTTCAGTACTTTAGTAAAAAATCCCCGAAAGTAAATATTTTTAAATAAAAAAAGTATGTAACAGTAGAAAATTAAGAAGCTGAATTTTTACAGTTTGCAATTTAATAAATTTTATTGTTGACGTAGTGTTGAATAAAATTGATAAGTTGTTATTTATCAGTGGCTAAGTGTCGGCAATTATAACACAATTAGGAGAAGAATATTTTCTAAATTGCGACTTCATAATCACCCGCGATAATTGCAGCCACTTTCGTGTAATTGTACCTACATCATAGTTTATTCTTATTGCTATGGCAATAATTACGGTTCCCATTTTAATAGTCATTATTAAATTATATCTCTGAGTGGCAATAAAATTTCATACAATTCGATCGAAGAAAATATTTTTCTCCCTTAATTTACATTATTTAAAGATCAGAATTACAATTTTAAATTTTATATTTTCTTTATGGGCAATATAATTTACCGAAAAATGTTGCAACTATTTCTGGAAATATTTTAAAATTAACAAATTTTTTTGAAATAATAATTGCATTTTTAAGAAACTTTTCTCAAAAAATATTAAAAGCAATTGAATTTGAGAAGAAGTTTAGTTGAAATTTCTAGAAAATAATAATAATAATAAATCTTGAAAATAATTTTTGAGAGTTTTTCTTTATGACCGGAAATTCTTTTTAATGAAAAAGTGGTCCCTGTGAATAAACAAATTGGAAGAATAATAATTTGTCAATAATGCTTTCAGTGCGCGCAACAATAAAATTGAAGGTAACTATCCTGAAAAGTGGTCGAAGTTCTGAATTGTTTAGATAATATTGTGCAATGCACTTAAGTGGAACGCCGTGCTCGAGAAACTTGCAAATAATCACGGATCAGTATTTCATTCAGGAACGTGGCTATTTAAACTATTTTCTTTAATTTTAACTCAAATATACAATTTTTTATTTTTATTTGCAATTTGCACAATTAAACTTAACTTTTTTTCAAATTAAAAATTAACCCTTTGTTGAAAATTCAATTAATTATGACAGTAAACAATATGAAATAATAAGAACAGGGCTCGAACTAGGTCCGCAAATCCCGTAAAAGTCCGTAAAAGTCAGTTTTTTTAAAAAAAGGTCCGTAAAGTCAGTAATTTCATTGAAAAAGCAAGAAAAGTCCAAAAATTTAACGATATAATTTGGAGAATTTTTGAGAAGTTACAAATATTTGCAAAAATTCAATTATTTTCAAAAGTAATACAATTCTTTGCAAAAATTCAATTATTTTTAATACAACTTTAATAACATTTCATGAAAGAATTCAATTTTTAAAAAAATTCTTAATAACATTTTTCGAAAGAATCCAATTATTTTCTAAAATTTTAATAAATCCTTCGAAACAATTCAATTGTTTTTATAAATAGTAAAATTCATCGCAAGAATTAAATTATTTTTCATCAATAATAAAATTCTTCTCAGGAATTCAATTATTTTCAATACAATTATTAACAAATTCGACTATATATTCAATAAATTAAAGAAATTTTTCAAAAGAATTCAATTATTTTCTAAAAATTTTAATAAAATTCGAGAATTAATTGTTAATGTAAAATGCAATTACTTTGAAAACTTAAAATTATTAAAGAATCTCCATTATTTTAAAGAAACTCAAAGAAATTCTAAAAAAAAAATGTAATTCAGATTATGAAAAATTTTAATAAAATTCTTCCCAAATTCAATTATTTTCATAAATAATAAAATTCTTCTAAGAAATCCAATTATTATCAAATTTTCTTAATAAAATTCTATGCAAGAATTCAATGATTTGCAAATTTTTTTTATAAATTTTTTTGCAATAATTCAATTATTTTCATAAATAATATAAAATTTTTACAGATATTCAATTATTTTCATAAATAATAAAATTGTTGCAGGAATTTAATTATTTGCAAACACAATTTTCATAAAATTTTTCCAAAAAAATCATTTATTCAGAATGATTTTTATAAAATTCATAGCTAGAATTCAATTATTTAGAAAAATTAATAAAGTTCTTCTTAAGGGCATTTGAACCTTGATGACGTCACACATGCTTTGCACAAACTGAAACGTCATCAAGGTTCAAATGCCCTTAAGAATTCAATTCTTTTTAAAAATAATCAAAATGCTTTACAGAATTTCAATTATTTAAAAAAATGTAATAAAATTCGTAGCAAGAATTCAATATTCTTCTCCTCAATGATAAAATTCTTTACAGGATTTCAATATTTTTAATACAATTTTAAATAAATTCTTCGAAAAATGTCATTAATTTCAAAAATTTTATTAAAATTGATCAAAAGAATTCAATTATTAATTATTTTTAATAATTTTTGCAAAGGTTCTAGAAAATTTTTGAAGCGATATTTGAAAAAATTCAATTAAAAACTGAAAATAATTTTTAAACAAAATTAGATTAAACTTTTCGAAAATTCAAGTATTACTAAAAAATAATGCTATAATTCTTTTAATTTTCAATTATTATCTAAAATTTTAACTGAAATTCATTTTTAAGTCAATTTATATTAGAAAATTCTACGAGAATTCAATTATTTAAACACAAAAATAAATAATTTATTGAAGAATTGAA